TTGCGCTCTAGAGCTGCGAGAAGCGTGCCGCCCGCGCCCGCGGGCCGTGCCGTGCCTGTTGTGCCGGGCTGTGCCCACGTGCCGTGCCGCGCCGTGCGTGCCAGAGTTGCGAGCAGCCGTCTGCGTGCCGTGCCGTGCCCGCGTGCCGTGCCGTGATTTCGGGGGCGGCCAAGGGGGGATGATGACTGGGGGGGGGATGGGTATCATGGCGTGGGCCATGGTACTTCCGTACTTCCCCAAGTTTCATGGCGTCTCTTCTCATTTCATTATGTCCCTGGCCCCCCCGCTGGGTCGCGCACATGCTGCCGGCCATGATTTGCGCCCACCCCTCTTGGACGGCCCCCCCCCCCCTCGTGGCCGCCCCCGATGATTGCGTGCCGTGTCGTGCCCGCTTGCCGTACAGTGGGGGCCCATGCCAAGAAACACCCCGCTCGCCTGAAGGGTGCTCTGGGTTTCTTGGGTTTCGATGGTCTTGTTATGGGAAGCCTGACGTTCCCACACCAAAAATCAATGGACGTCCTGGGGTCTCAGGGTTGGGTTTCTTGTGGAAGGTTTCTTGTGGACTGGCCTCCACTGTACCGTGCCGTGGCCGTGCAGTGTTTAGTTTCTCAGGAGCAGGACATGTGCAATCCGCGTGCCGTCCCGAGTCCGAGAGTTGTGACTTGCAGGCGCATGTCGATGCTGTCTCACCATGTGTCTTCTCAAGCAGCTCTACCTTTTAACGTCTCTGTGCCTGTGCAGTTGGCGCTGAAGCAGAGAAGGCATGTACCAGGGAGATTCGCAATGTCCACCGCTGACTTAGATTCGTGCTCGAGTCCAGGATCGTATCATCAGTATGTGTAACGTCCATCGCAGGTCGACTCGCTTACCTCAGCGTGAAATAGTGTCTTGCCTTTACCCCAGCTGCGCGCATCCGCTTCCAGCAGGCATCCACCTCAACAGTAGAGAGCGCCGATGATATCGAGAGAAGGCCATATGCACCAAATCAGTAATATCAGCATCAGCCCATGAGGCAACTTCAGGTACAGGGAACATCACAGCACCACCAGCGCAACCGCAGTAGCACCTGTGGCGGTGGCAGCAGCAGCGGCAGCAGTAAACTTTGTATCAGCACAAGGGGGAGGGGAGTAGATGGTAGACAGCTGGAAGCAGAAGCACATGTGATGGGGGGCGGGGTAGGATCTCGCGAGACGCGGGCTGGCCGGTTCCCAGGAGGCCTTCTTTGCATTCTTCTGTCGTAGCGGTTTTGTGGGAGGCATGGATAAAAAGCGGAGCCTCTGTCATTGTTGCTTTCCTCAAGGCTGTTTCAGTTGTTTCCTCCCTTCTTTGAAGGCCAAAACAGCAGGTTCTCAGAGCCTGGCTTGACATCTTCTGGCCATTTTGGTGTGTACGAAGGAGTCCCAGAATGCGACCAGACACAGTATATCTTTGCATTTAAGAGGTACGCGTGGTGTTTTCGCACAGTCGGAAACAGAGGTGTCGTTCGTGTCAGCGTCGGCCTGCCCCGTGTGGTTGGTTGTGGCAGGTCCTGAATAGGATAGCCAACCACACGCCTAAACGCTGGAGACGGACTGGACCAGGGGTGCCCGAAAGAGTGGGCAGATTCAGTCCTAGACCAAAAAAGGGACCAAAGGAAGTTGCGCAGTCAACTGCTTCTCGGCGACCCTGGCGCGGCACAGCCGTAGCCAGGCGAGCCTGAGGCGGGTGTACAAAGATGCCTTGTATGTTGCACTAATATGGACATGCTTGGCAAGTGACTGGTTATCAGCCGAAAGTCTCTCCAGGAGCTCGCCTTGGGTGGTGCGGCCTTGTTCCCAACACTCAGAGAGGTAGCAATGGTGGCTTCACCAAAAAGGGGGCTTCGTAGGTGCGCTCTGATTATGATTATCCACGAGCGCCTAACGCAGGGGTCGGGTGGCGCACACCCCTGGGCTGTGGTTAGTGTCCGCTCAAGGAAAAGGGGGCGATCGCCTGGCGTAGCTGCGGTTGCCGGCGGTGTCACGAAAGAGGGGGCCGTTGTTTCCTCCCTTCTTCGAAGGCCACAACAGCAGGTTCTCAGAGCCTGGCTTGGCATCTTCTGGCAATTTTGGTGTGTACGAAGGAGTCCCATAATGCGACCAGACACAGTGTATCTTTGCATTCAAGAGGTACGCGTGGTGTTCTCGCACAGTCGGAAACAGAGGGGTCGTTCGTGACAGCGTCGGCCTGCCCCGTGTGGTTGGTTGTGGCAGGTCCTGAAGAGGATAGCCAACCACACGCCTAAACGCTGGAGACGGACTGGACCAGGGGTGCCCGAATGAGTGGGCATACATAATCTTAGATCAGAAAGGGGACCAGAGGAAGTTGCGCAGTCAACTGCTTCTCGGCGACCCTGGCGCGGCACAGCCGATGCCAGGCGAGCCTGAGGCGGGTGTACAAAGAATGCCTTGTATGTTGCACTCATTTGGATATGCTTGGCAAATGACTGTTTCAGCTTGCCCACGAGACCCACGGTAAGGCCTAATTTCTCACGTTCGGTAGCAGTTCATGGGAGCCTCGTATGTTGTCATAACTCCGTCTCTAGAGTGGAACGCCTATGAGCGCCTGGTAATCAATGGTAGAGCGCCGATTTAGCGTTTATGAGCGTCGATTCAGCGTCGACTAGCGTAGGTGAGCGTCGATTCGCGAGAGCCAGCAAAATGGCATAAGAGCCTCCCGTGAGTTGCCACCGGACGTTCGCCCGGGTCCTGATGCCGATGAGGGGGGAGGTGCCGCGGTGGTCCAGCCACCTTCGGCGGCGTTCGCCGATGGAGTCGACCAGCCTGGAGAGTGGACCAGCCGAGGCCCCGCTTATCCAACAGGAGAGGGTGAGAGGGCACGCCTGCTTCCTTCCCTGAGATGGTCGGATGGCATACGAGGGAGGCCCAACACGGGCCAGTTTCCGAACCAAGAGGAGGAGGAGGAGGAGGAGGAGGAGGAGGAGGAGGAGGAGGAGGAGGAGGAGCAGGAAGAGGAGGAGGAGGAGGAGGAGGAGGAGGAGGAGGAGGACGGGGGCACGATGGGCGGGGTGTGTTTTGTGCATGCGAACGCTTTCGCATGTCAGGCCATTGTCCTGACGTCTGTGCGCAGCAGCAGGAGGATGGGGTATGGGTCCATTCACAGTTATTTGTGATCGTAGGGGAAGTTTGGAGGAGACGTTCGAGATGATGCTTTCTTTCCCCGAATCGCGCAGGAGAGCGTAGGGGAACATATATCAATGTCATCGAATTTCCGGCTTGCAGATACATGGCATTCAACAAAGCAGGAATACAGCAGTCAGGCAGCAACACGCATGTCAGATATTACCAAGGTTGGCCGCCGCAGTGCTGAGGATAAGAGTTGGCGTTGTCTGAGGAGCCACTACAGGACCAGCCACGCCCTCAGGGAAGGCACAAGTGGTTCAGCAGAACATAAGAGAACCGTGCGTCTACATCGATCATGTCGCGCGCATGGAAGGCATTTGCGCTGATGCCCTGCGCACCCAATGTCTCGGGCGCCGGAGGTACCAGCAAAAACGGCGCCCTGACAAAATGTGTGGTGTCCGCCGGGTTCGTTTCAAACAGGGTCCCAGTTGACACATGTCTACGGCGAAGTCCACTGCGATTACCTAGTCGGCATTGCAGTCGGCCGGATGCAGCGGGCCCAAGACCGAGCTCGCTGGAATGCAAACAAAGTGTTTCGCATCAGTGTTTCCCAGCGTTGCTTTTGCCGCGTCCCCTAGCTATTGTTTTTGCCAGTGTTGTTCTCCGGATCTCTGCTGTCGGTTCCTCCTGCTCTCCTTCCCTTCTCCTGACCTTGCGTTTCCCCTGCCCTTGTTGGCTGGCGCGGCGTGCGTTCCCCCCCTTCTCTCCCTGTTTGGCTTCCTCTCCACGCCCCCCCGCCCCCCCGTTTGTCGGGCATGTCTGCTCTTTCTTGTCGTCCTCCCCATGTTCCGCCCCTCCTCTCTCCTACTCCTCGGCTCCTCACTTTCCCGCTCTTCCGTTTTCCTTGCTTGGCCCGTTTTTCTTTGTCGACCCGGCTTGCGGTTCGCAAAAGAGCTGTGCGGCTGGGGATGCCACGCAGGCGAATCGCCGGGCGTGTCCCAGGATTCAGAGAGAGGCTGATGATTTTCAGACGTGATCCCCAAAGCAGAACGAAACAGCCTTCATATCACCGAAGCAGAAGCCTGATGGGGCCTTCAGAACGAAACAGCTTCATATCACCTTCAGAGGCTGATTGGGCTTTCATATAACCAAAGCAGAACGAAACAGCAGAAAAGCAAAAACGGCGGAAGCCAAGACAGACGGCGTTGTGTTTTGCATCGGTTCCACATGATGCCGCCGGCCATTTCAGAGCGGAGCTGCATTTTTCAAGGAGGGCGGCATTGTCAAAATAGGAGTCGTGGGTTCCCTTTGCCGCGTTGCAAGTCGGCAAGCCAGGGGGAGGGGGGGGGGAGTGAGGGGGGCGCAGGGGCAGGGGGGGACGATGGAAACCATCTGGATGGACACGCTGGCAGCCCTGCTCTCTTCCACCCCCCTCTCCCTGTCGTCGATTGGGGTGCTTTGTCAGGGCCTGGTTCTCGCACCCTCTGTACGCTCGCCCCAGTTGCCCAACCGACCGTGCGTCACTGCTCGCTCGTGGTCTGCTTGGTGCTGCAATGGCACATCCGCGTCCTGGACGGATGCCAGAACAACTGGCCGTGCAGGGGAGGAGGGAGAAGCGCGCTCGAGGCCGCGCGCGGCGCCGTACACCCTGGGCCGGGCAGCGCCTCCGCCTGCAGCCACCCGGCGGACCCGTGCCCGGCGGAGCAGGAGAGGTCGGCCCGGCGGGCTGAGACGTCGCCCATAGCTCTTGGCATCGCTCGGGCGTGTGCATTTCTCCTTCGGCGAGTACCATCGAGGAGCATCCTCGATCGTTTGGCGAAACAACCACGCACGAAACCGAAAAAAGCACAGGGAATGGATGTCCGAGCGATGGCCAGAGCTTGCTTGGGCCTTGCCGGGACGGGGTCTCTGCCCATGGGGGTGGAGGCCCCAAGGGACGCCAGGGGCCGGCTCGGGCCCTGGCGGGGTCTCGCCCTCGGGGGCAGAGGCCCCGGCTCTCCCCCCTCCCCGCCCCACCCAACGTCACCGCCTGAGGACTGGGGCAGAGCACGTCATGATTTTGGCGGCTGGGGCCCTGCAGGAAATCCCTTCGGATGCAGGGGGCGCAGGGAGGACTGCCAGATAGGAGGGCGACGATGAAGAGTTACGATCAGGAGGAGGAGGGGGAGGAGGAGGAGGAGGAATGAGGAATATGAGAACGGCGGGGATTCACGATGATGAAGGATGACCAGGGGGAACAGGAGTACTGATGAAGATGAGAAAGGAGGAGGAGTTTCGAATAATAACTCACATGGACAATATCACTAATACTATGAGCGCTGCTAATATATAATAATAATGCCATTACTACTACTACTACTACTACTACTACTACTACTACTACTACTACTACTACTACTACTACTAATAATAATAATACTGATAATACGAATAGCAAAAATAGTAGTAGTAGTAGTACTAGTACTAGTAGTAGTAGTAGTACTAGTACCAGTACTAGTACTAGTACTAGTACTAGTTGTTGTTGTAGTAGTAGTACTACTACTACTACTATTACTACTAATAATAATAACAACAATAAATAATAATACTAGTAATAACAATAATGCCAATCCAAAGACTACCACTATTGAAAACACTACTAGTAGTGACTAGTACTACGACCATTAATCAGGATACTCATACTAATCGTAGCACGATTAAGCATAATCATAGTAACACAAGAAGACAAATCTGGATACTGAAAAGAAGAAGGCGGATCAGGGAAGCTGGATGATGATGATGATGCTGATGCTGATGATGATGATGATGATGCTGATGATGATGATGATGATGATGATGATGGTGATGATGCTGATGATGCTGATGATGCTGATGATGCTGATGATGCTGATGATGCTGATGATGATGATGATGCTGCTGCTGCTGCTGCTGATGATGATGATGATGATGATGATGATGATGATGATGATGATGATGATGATGATGATGATGATGGGAGGAGGGAGGGGGGGGGGAGGAGGAGGAGGAGGAGGAGGAGGAGGAGGAGGAGGAGGAGGAGGAGGAGGAGGAGGAGAGGAACGCGGGGCACCGTCTCTTCAAAACGAGGACCCAACACCACAGGATGGTTGGGAAAAAGGTTCTTAATGTCAGCCCCCCCGTCGGGAACTGAAAAATTGCCTCCTGGAGCCCTCTTGGGGCGCTCTTCAGGCACTCTCTTAGGCGCTCCTGGGGCTGTCTTGGAGCCCACTTAGTCTCCTCCTGAGCCTCTCTTGTGCGATCTTCGAGCCATCTTGCGCTCTGAAGCTGATCGGAAGGATGTTTTACCTCTCGGAAGCGTTCTTGGAAGGCTTCGTGGCAACTTGGAGCTGCCTTGAGGCGGTATTGAGGCCTCGTCGAGGTTCGTGGGAGTCTATCTTAAAACACGTTTGGGTACATTGTGCCATTTTGGGAGCCATCTTGGATTTTCTGAGGCCCTTTTGTATTTCCTCCGTCGTTGAACCCCCTGGCAACGTGCCGCGAGCGACATCAAACCAGCGCATCAAACTCGCATTTTTGGGCGGCGCCTCTGGTGCACATTGGTGGTGGTGAATCTGGCGCACTTGGTGTACACTGGCGTTTCGCATGAGACATGCTCAAACATTCATCCCAGTGTAAACCATGTGTGCGCCGGGGGAGCGTCCCAATGTACACCAAGGGTGGACCTCGGCGCTACCTTCCTTCTCATCTCCCCCTCTCTCCCCCTCCCTGTCCCCTCTCTCCCTGCCAATCCCCCTTCGGCGCCCTCCTGAGATCTGGGATGGCTCCCCCCTCGGCCCTCTCCTCAGATTTAAGCCAGGGCGCGGCGCGCCAGGCTCACAAGGGACGCCGTGCGTGTTGACGAACATCGCCTGTGCATAGGTTCCGATTTCTGGACGCTTCCGGTATCCCCACGAGCTCCCCTGGTCGTCGTTCTTCCCGACTAACTGGTGCTTCCGACGCCATGCATACTTGCACGCTGGCAGTACGACTCAGTTTCAGCTGCTTCCTCCACTCGCCGGTCCGCCGCTGAGGTGCTGCGCGAGGCCCCGCTTAGCCGCTTTAGGTGAGGCCGTCCTCCGTTGCTTTAGGTGAATTTGTCGTTGCGTGCCCCGCTTTGACTGGACTCGCCGCCAGCGCGCTCGCCCGCGGCCGCTGACTAAAAAGTATCCCCACGAGCCCATCCAGAAACGATTCCCGCGCGAGTTGCCCTGATCAGGGAAGTGTAACAGCATGTAGTTCATCAATCAGCCACAGAAGAGGCGGAGGTGGAGGAGGAGGAGGAGGGCAGGAGAAAAGAACATAGTGAAGGCGATATTCCAGAAACGATGCCCAGGGGAGTTTTCTAGAGGAGGGCCGCAGGTGAGCATATAGCAATGCAAGGAGGCGAAACATGGTGAAACTAAACTTCGGGGAGCTCCTGGAGCCGCCATGGGATAATCACGAAATCCTTTGGAACTCTCTTGGGGCGCTCTTGGGGCTCTCTTGGGGCCCTTCTGGGGGCCCTTCTGGGGAGCCTCGAGGGTCCACGTGGGAAACCTTGGAGGCCATCGAAAAAGGGAGGTGGGAGGGTTCTTGATGCCAGCGCCCTCGCCGGAAACTGAGCATAGCCTCCTGGGGCCCTCTTGGGGCGCTCTTGAGGCGCTCCTGGGGTCGTCTTGGAGCCCTCCTGGGCGCCTTGTGGGGCCCTCTTGTGCGATCTTGGAACCGTATTGAGGCCTCCAGAGCCGATCAGTAAAACAGAAAAGAAGAGAACGCAACAAATACAGTAAGAACATAACGCAGGAAGCGCGCATCGCACCACTCTCCTGCACCTGTTGCGACGGAAACACGCACGCAATTTCGACTCCACGCACCGCGCGCGCGCAGAGACGGGACATGTCGACGAGTACGCATCGCTGCCAAGCGTCGACTGGCGTGCGCCTGCCGTGAGCGCCGCATGTGCGTTCTGTCCGCGCGGTATAGCACATCGCCATGCCGCTCGCGCCAAAACCACGACGTGGGTGCACTGGTGGAGAGACGTTGGTCCATCGTGGGGTGAGTCCAGGCATCGGTGCGACTCGTCGTTGCTTCCCCTTTGTACTTCTTCGCGCCAGGTGCCAGTGATTTCCCAGGGTTTCGTTTTGCCTCGTCGGGTATCGTGTAGGAACCCTCCGAACCGAGTGCTGGATCCCGTCCTACTGCTCGGCGTTGTGGCGTCCAGTTCCGTCGCGTTGCTCAGTGCCCAGGTGCTGGTCATGCCACATACTTGTTGCTTAAAGACGTAGTGTTCGACGCGCTGCTCGTCTCACTCGTAGGAGTGAGTCTGCTGGGGCTGGTTCCCGTCGTGCTCCTCGACTTCGCAGTGCTCGATTTCGTCGCGGACGCGGTACTCGCGTTGTTCGGCGTCGTATTTATTGTTCAGTGCCGTCGTTCTGTTTAGTGTCGAGGGGCAGGTCGTTGACGTGCTGTTCGAAGCCGTGGTGCTCGTTGCACGATGTTGCACTGATCATCACATTCGTGCATGTAATGCTGTTGGTGCTGGCTGCCGTCGCACTGCTCACCGCCGCGGTGCCCAACCCCGCCCCGTGGCTCAGCGTCGAGGTGCTGGCGACAAGACGTGGTATTCAGTGCACTGTTTGTCCCACTGAGTGCGATTCGATTCTGCCGATGCTGGACCCCGTCGTTCTGCGCATCGTGGTGGTGCTCGACTCCGTCGTACGGCGCGGCGTCAAGGTGCTGGTCCCAGAGGTGCTGCTCGAGGGCGTGCTGCTCGTTGCATTGCTCATCTCCCTCGAAGGTGTGAGGCTGCAGTTGCCGCGTTTCGTCGAGTTGCACACCGTAGCGGTGCTCGCCTTCGTCGTGCTGCTCGTTGTCGAGGTGTTGGTGCCGGGCGTGCTGCTCAAAGACGCTGTACGCTTTGCGCTGCGCGCGTAGTTGGTAGATTTGAAGTCGTCGATGACGCGTCCCGTCGTGTTGCGCGACGCCGTGGTGTTCGACTCCTGCGTGCTGCTCAGAGTCAGCGGACTCGTCGTGTGCGTGCTGCCCAAAACCTTGGTGCTCGTTGCGCTGCTCATCGCACTCGTGGATGCGAGGCTACTGTCGCCCCTGTCCAGGAGCCCCGGCGGGCTGGCCGCCACCATGAGGGCGAGGAGAACACTGAAAAGAGGTTGGCCCGTGAAGGGTTGTTGTCTGCGTCGGTGATTGTGCTGAGCAGCGCCCGAGCGCAGCTTGCGAAGGAGCTCCCGATGCCGCGGACTAAGCCCCGGTGTATTCGAAGGGCCCTGTCGGTGCCGCAGTTGCTGGTGCGACGGCTGGCATCGGCGATGCGAGCTCTGGCGCTGGCGCTGGCTTCCGTGTGTGCGCAGGCGGGCCTGATGGCTCAGCCGTAGACCCCGCAGTCGACGGGGCTGGCGTCTCTGTTGACATGCACCATGGCGTTGGTTCAGTGTTACCCCCACCCGCTTGGCCTCCTCAGGGAGGTTCGGCTTCTGAGGGGGGCGAGGAAACACACTTGACGTGAACAGGAGGGCAGCATTGCCATTGGTCAGCAGGGCCACCCAGCATCGGTTCTGGTTCCCCCGTGCGGCCAATGACAGGGCCGCGTTGGCCGCTAATGTGGTCCCTTACGTGGTTGGGGGCCGTTGCGTCGCTGCCCTCCTGGGCGGGCGGAGGCGCGGGCGGAGGGACGAGGCCTTTGGCGTCGGGCAGGCGGGCCTTGCGCCTGCCCTGGTGGGCCTAGGCTCAGTCCCGAGCGCGGACGGCCGGGCCCCAGAGCTACCTGGCACGCTGTTCGGCAGGTCCACCTCGTCCCAGGGGTCCCGTTCGCCGTCCGGCGAGGGCTGGCAACACTGAAGGTAGAGGTGCTGGCAGTGGCATTTGTCGCGCCGTGGGCGTCGCTTTGGCTGGTGTCGCCCTGGGCTCCACCCTGGTGGGTGCACCCTTGGAGGTTGGCGCTGGCTGCAGCGCAGGAGTCCAGGGTACCCTAGTGGCGACCACTCTCCACGTGGCAACAGCTGAGAAGATAAGGACGGAGTCCCAAGGATCGTAGGTCGGGGCTTTGGCCCTGGCGGGGTATCGGGGGATGCTATTGGTCGGCCCTGGTGAGCGTAGGCGCAATCGGGAAGTCGAGGCCGATGAGAGGGGCTGTGCCGTTCTCCCGTTGGGTCACGGCCAGGGGCTTGAACCCTGGTGGGTCATGGCTGGTGCCCGTATTGCGTGTTCTGGGCAAGATGTAGTTTAGTGTAGCTGATCTTGATGCCTGCACATGTTCATTGGTTCGCTCCTGAGCCGAGGCTGGTCGGAGCGGTGTTGCTGATGTACGGTCTAGAGGTCGGTTGGGTGTTTTTGGACGAGCTCGTCGTAGGCTGCAGTAGCCCGGTCTGCGCCGCCACCGGTTTGGAGGGCAACGGCGCAGGCCTCCTGGCGCACGGGGATTGCCAGCCTGGAACATAGCATCGCTTCATTTCGATGCCGATTTGAAGGATTCCCCTCAGTTTCCGGGGGCACATCCTTAAGCTTGTCATCGCCTTTTGGCTTGCCGATCTTAGGGATAGGGATCTGTCCGAGGCTGGTTGGGGAAGGCTCTCTGGACAGGAGGCTTGGCGTCCCTTCCCTGATCGCTTGGGCTGCGGTGGTACAGGGCCCAGGGCGCATACGGCGAGGCTCTCATGAACCATTGCGGCGCGCGCGCGGGGATATGGAGGAGGTGCCACGAATCTGGCACACCGTGGGATGCGGTGTGTCTGGTCTCGCCATGCGCGGAGAAGAAATTGCAGGTTTCCCTCGGAGCTTCGCGTCGCGGTTGTGCTCTGGGTCAGAAACGCTCGAGCCGAGATTAGGTAAAGGGAGAGAGAGAGAGAGAGGGAGGGGAATGAGGAGAGGGAGGCAGGAGAAGAGAGGAGGAGAGAGGGGAGGAGGAGTGAGAGGGGAGGGTGAGGAGGAGAGGAGGAGAGGGACGAAGAGAGGGAGGGAGGTGAGGGAGGTGGAGAGGGAGGGAAGAGGGAGAAGAGGAGGAGAGGGAGAGGAGGGAGGAGGGAGGAGGAGAGGGAGGAGGGGAGGGAGGAGGGGAGGCTGGAAACCAGGGGGAATCAGGAGAATAAGGGGGGGAGGAGAGGGAGGGAGATTGGAGGGCGGGAGCAGGACATGGAGGAGGGTAGGGAGGAGGGGAGGGGGCTTGGCTTTCTTCACTCTAGCCTCGAAAAAGAAACGGCATAAGCGTGAACTTCTGGAGGTCCGCGCGAATTTCTGGGCCCACTCTGGCGGCGCCTCCCGCGCCGCCCCTGGCTCGCTCCGCACGCTAGCGAGGGGGGTTCCAGCGCCGATCCAAGAAATCCGCGCGGACCTCCGAAAGTCTACGGTTATGCCGTCCTTTCTTCTAAGTTATGCATTTCGCCCGCATGGCTGGTTGGAGGTGGCAGATTTTGAGACCTTTCGCGAAGCGTCCCGCACATCAGCGTCCCACAAGTCAGCACTCCGTGTGCTATCCGGGTGGTGGTGATGCTCCTTCTCCCTCCCCTCATTCTCCACGCTGCCGTGTCCTCGTGCTCCTAGCCTTTGTCATTCTCCTCTTGCCGTCCTTTCCAACAGACTGTTTGGCTCCATCAGGTCCTGAGCAATTGCCGCACACCCGTACGCTCCCTGTATAATTTCAAACTAGCGATTGGCTCACTTGTTTCGCAGATGGCGCGTCTCTTGCTGATCACCAGTCTGGTCGGGGCCCGCGGCGCCGCCAGCCTGGGTGCGGCCCCCGCCGATTCCAGCATGATCCAGCTCGGACCAGCGATGGGCAAGATCAGCACTTCGCTACAGACAACGGCGACGCACTCTACGGCGCCTGCCCCGCTGACGTGTCGGCCTGGCAGCCCATCCACCTGCGCAGTCAGTGAGTACGTCCTGAGTGGGACGTTCTCAGCAGGACGCCTGGTTCGAGTTGAGAACGGTCACGAGGTGAGAAGGTCAACGGACACCAACAGCTGCCCCGACGGCTGGAAGATCTGGTCCGCCCGCAACAGAGAGGACCTGGATACTGTTATCAACACCGTCAACCCTGCACCGGCAACAGAGTGGGCCTGTAATCAGCACCAACACTGCGTATGTTGGCCCACCCTCCAGCCCGACTGTCTTGGCTTCCCTTACTTCATTGTCGACGTCACGAAGCCATCCGACGGATGTGGTGTAGGATGTTTGGGCGTCGCGATGAATTCCGACACAGCAAGCGTTTGGGTGACGGCCGACGGGTCACCATGGTATCTGCGCGGTACCCCGTCTGGGGATCCAAGTGGCGATTACACTGCGAACTGCTACCTGGGCATCTTTAAGTTCTCCGACGCAGATGACGTGTATGTCAACGATGCGGGCTGCGCGCACAGCTCTTCAGTCTATCTGTGCCAGCCAGAAGCTACGGTACGCCTGCGCACCCTCTACAATTACTCAATATGAAAACTACTCTCCTCCTGCCCCCGATGACGGGTGCCGGAGCAGAGACATCCTCACAAAAATTTGATGGTCCGGGCCGTTTCGCTTGAGACATCCTCACAACTCTCGTTTCTGAATTGGCCGGGATTGGCCGTGTGGCCTGAGACATCCTCGAAAAGTTGCGCTCCGGGACGCCGCGCGAGAGGTGGTCCGGGCCGTTTCGCTTGAGACATCCTCGAAACTTTGAGCCCCGAGGTGCCGTGCGAGACGTGGTCCGGGCCGTTTCGCCTGAGACATCCTCGAAACTCTGAGCTCTGAGATGCCTTGCGCGAGGTGGTCCGGCCCGTTTCGCTTGAGACATCCTCGAAATTCTGACCTCGGAGATGCCGCGCGAGAGGTGGTCTGGCCCGTCTCGCCTGAGACATCCTTGAACTTCTGAGCTCTGAGATGCCCTGCGCCAGGTGGTCTGGCCCGTCTCGCCTGAGACATCCTCGCAACTCTGAGCTCTGAGATGCCGTGCGCAAGGTGGTGTGGCCTGTTTCGCACAAGACATTCTCGCAACTCTGAGCTCCCAGATGCCGCGCAAGAGGTGGTCCAGCCTGGGAGCCCAGAAGACCACATGTTACATATCCTCCCTGAGACCCTGGGAGCCCGCCTGAGACATCCTCGAACTTCTGAGCTCTGCGATGCCCTGCGCGAGGTGGTCCGGCCCGTCTCGCCTGAGACATCCTCGCAATTCTGAGCTCTGAGATGCCGTGCGCAAGGTGGTCCGGCCTGTTTCGCACAAGACATCCTCGCAACTCTGAGCTCCCAGATGCCGCGCAAGAGGTGGTCCAGCCTGGGGGCCCAGAAGACCACATGTTACATCTCCTCCCTGGGACCCTGGGAGCCCCAGGAGGCCCCAGAGAGCTCCAGGAGGCCGCAGGACGCCCAGGACAGGCCCCAGGGGTCCCCAGGAGATTCCCAGGAGGCTCCCAGGAGGCCCCAGGAGGCCCCCTTATCAGAACGTGTCAAGTCAATACACATCCGGTGCCGATTTGTTGATTTTTCCTGCTCTTGTGCCTCCCCTCCATTTTGAGGGGCCCAAGCGGCCACAGGTTAGGTATCCCCTGAGTCCGGATCCGCCCTACTTTGGGCAATTTCGTAAGTGGGGCCTGGAATTTCCGCCTTACTTTTCAAGCCCCGCTGATGCCAATTTCCGCCCTACTTTTCTGTTGCTGTTTCCGCCCTACTTTTGTGGATTTCCGCCCTACTTTATGTCGGGTGCGTGACCGAACGTGCGTCATGGGAAACGCATTGGATGTGTTCCGTGCTGCGTGGCTGCAGCAGGGTTCAGACATCTTTCTCCAGGTCGGTTCCACGTTGCGGGGTTGTCATGCGGACCTTGTCATTGAAGCATTCCGCGGCGATTTCTATGGCGCCACGAAGCGCGTGAACGGTGTGCCGACATGAGGCGGGACCTCCATGCGCACCTTACCGTCGGGGCCTTCCGCGGAGCTCCGCGTCGCGCAAGTGCGACCACCGTGCGCGCGGCAGCGGTGGCGCGGGGGGCGGGCCAGGGGGCCCGCATTGCCGCCGAAACGAACGAGAAGGCTTCAACGCGGCGCCGAGGCGGTCCAACGCGCCCCCCCGAGACGGCTGAGATGGCTCAGCGTGGCTCCTCCTGATGCTTTTCCTCCTCTCCTCCTCCTCCTCCTGCTCCTCCTCGTCGTCCTCCTCCTCCTCCCCCTCCCCCTCCCCCTCTTCCTCCTCCCTCCTCCTCCTCCTCCTCCTCCTCCTTCTCCTCCTCCTTCTGCTCATCGTCCTTCTTCACCCCCTCCCACACATCCGACGCCTTGGTGAGTTCAATGCGCGGCCCCTGGAGGCCCCGACATATTATATGCGGGTCTTCGTCCGACGACCCTCTCAGAGCACCCGAAAGGCGAAAGCGGCGACGACCTTCCGCCTTGATTTCGGGCGCATCCCGAAGTTGTTTCTCGCGAGGCGAGCTCCGACAGACTGACAGACTGACAGACTAACGGATTGAGCGACTGACTGACTGACTGACTGACAAACTGACTGGTCGCACCCGTTGCGCGGCGGTTTCCTTCTTCGGCCGTCGAGGGCGCGACCGCGGCGAAACCAATCAGAGGCGGTTTTATTCTTCGTTGCCGAGGGCGCAACAGATAGCGCAACCCATAGCAGGCAGTTTTATTCTCAGCCGCCGCCGAAGGCGCGGCGCAACCCACGGCGCAGCCGATGCGGGGCGGGTTCATGCTCGGCCAGCGCCGAGGGCGCGACCCATGGCGCAACCGATCGGAGACGGCATTATTTTCGGCCGCCGAGGGCGCAATCTATAGCGCAACCAATGGGAGACGGATCTATTCTTGGCCGCCGAGGGCGCAACCTATGGCGCAGCCACCAAAGCGACGGGTTAATTCTCGACCGCCGAGGGCGCAACCATGGCGAAGCCAATAGGACACGGGTCTATTCTCGGCCGCCGAGGGCGCAACATATGGCGCAATCAGCAGCAGGCGGTTATATTTTCGGCCGCCATGGGCACAACTTATGGCGCAACCAGCAGCATGCGGTTTTATTCTCGGCCGCTGGGGGCGCAACCCATGGCGCAATCTATGGGCGGCGGTTTAACTTGCAGCCGCCGAGGGCGCAACCCACGGCGCAACCAGTTGAAGCCAATTTTACTCTCGGCCGCCGAGGGCGCAACCTACGGCGCAACCAATAGGAGACGGCTTTGTCCTCTTGCACAGGGCGACTGGAGCCCCGACAATTTTATGTCATGTCGCCCACCCCTCTGCCCCCAGCTCTTCCCCCAGCGGTTCCCTTTCCTTCGCCGCCTCTCTGCTCCCCGGCGGCCGAGTGCCCCCTCTTCCCGACCATTTCATTATATCTCGCGTCGCCCCGCCCCCCCCTCCTCCGGCCCCAGCTTTCTCCCCAGCGGCCCCCTGTTTTCGCCCCCACCAACCGAGCGCCCTCCCCTCCCCCCCCGCCCCCGCCGCATTATTTTGCGTCGGCTCCCCCTCCCCACCCCGCCCGCCCCCCTGCCGCGCCCCCAGGGCCCGCCCCCTTGTGTTTTCCTTCGTTCATCCTCTCCTTCTCCTCTCCTTCCCCCATGCGCAAGACCCACGGCGCGCGTTCCGCGTGTTTTCGGCCGCCCAGGGCGCAACCCATGGCGCAATCAAAAAGAGGGGCTCATTCTCGGCCGCCGACGGCGCAACCCATGGCGAAACCAATAAGAGACGGGCTCATTCTCGGCCGCCGAGGGCGCAACCTATGGCGCAACCAGTCGGAATGCGCTTCATCATCGGCCGCCGAGGGCGCAACCTATGGCACGACCGAAACGAGACGGGTTCTTTCTCGGCCGCCGAGGGCGCAACCTATCGCGCAACCAATCGGACGCGGTTATATTTTCGGCGGCCGAGGGTTCAATGACCGGCGCAACCAATAGGCGACGTTTATATTCTCGGGTGGCGGAGGGGAACGCGAGCACTTCGAGGACGATGCCGACGATTAACGACGACGAAGACGACGACGACAACCACGACGACGACGGCGACGGCGACGGCGGCGGCGCGGCGAAGGCGTTTGCTGCGACGACGACGACGACGACAGCGGCGGCAGCGACGGCGGAAACGAGGACCGCCGCCGCCACGACTCCAAAAGCAACGACGAGCACGCCGACCCGGCCAAACCTGACTGGACATCCACATGCGCGCGGGGCCACGACCGATTCGTGCTCGCTGTTTGGGCTGGCGGCGGGGCCCACGCGGCGAGTTTTTTTGTTTTTATTCAAGACGTTGGATGTCTGGGCTCATCGCCCATCTTCCCGTCACCCCTCCCCCCTGTCCTCTCTCTCTCTCTCTCTTTTTCTCCGCGCTTTCCCCCCGCCCCCTCTCCTGTCTTCGTCGTCGTAGACGTCGTCGTCGTCGACGTCGTCGTCGTCGTCGTCGTCGTCGTCGTCCTCCTCCTCCTTCCCGCAATTGTCGTCGTCGCCGTTTTCGTCGTCCTCGTCGCAATCGTCGTCGTCGCGGACGCCGTCGTCGTCGTCGTCGTCTTCGTCGTCGTCGCCGTCCTCGTCGACGTCCTCGTCGCCGTCGTCGCCGTCCTCGTCGCACTGGCCGTCGCCCTTGCCGTCCTTGTCGCCGTCGTCGTCGTCCTCTTGGAAATCGTCGTCGCCCTCCTCTTCTTCGTCGTCGTCATCCTCGCTCTCGTCGTGGTCGCCGTCGTCGCAAACATCCCCGTCCGAGTCGTCGTCGTCGTCGTCCTCGCTCTCGTCCTCTTCATGATCGCATTCGTTCCCGTCGTCGTTGTCGCAGTCGCCCCCGTCAGCGTCGCCCCTGTCCGCCGCGGCGCCCCGCCGCTGTTCCATGGAATCCATTTTCTTGCGAATCCGACCCCGTAAAAGACCGCTGGCATGCAATTGCGCGGGCCCCCCGGGGGCCGAAAACTATGAAATGTTTTGTCAGGCGCGGTTCTAATTTGAAGTAGGATTTTCCATGTGGGCGATTTTTCGATTTGAGAACAATTTGAGAACACTTTGAGAAACTGTTCTTGGAATCTTTCTCAAATTATTCTCAAATCGAGAAAATTGCTTCAGAATGGGAAACATTTCCTCCAGTTTGAACACTGCTTTTTGCCAACATCTCATAGTTTTCGGACCCCAGGGCCCGCGCAAATGCATTCCAATGGTCCGTTAGGGATCGGATTCCCAAACAATCGGGCTCCATGGGGCAGCGCTGGGACGCCACTGTGGACGGCGTCGACGACCGCGGGGACGACGGCGACGACGACGACGAGGACGACGAACACGACGAGGACGAGAGCGATGACGACGACGACGACGACGGCGACGAGGACGACGACGAGGATGAGGACGACGACGAGGACGGCGACGACGACGACGGCGATTGCGAGGAAGACGGGCGCGACGGCGACGATGAAGGAAGAGGACGGCGACGACGAATGTGACGAGGGCGACGACGGCGACGGCG